TGAAAGAATGTAGCGAGAACACCGACTTTCTCATAAAACGAGTCACGGAGAGAGACAGTGACTTGCCCAAAGTGCTGACAGGTATTGAGGGAAATCCTGAATTAGACCCCTTGACCCCTGGGCCTTTGCTTGCCCACCTCCACCCCCCAGCCAAACCCCTCTGCTAATGCCTCCATAAATACCATCCCTCAGTGTCAGCAGACATGCCTAGCATCCTTCTGGCAATTCCCCTTTGGGAATCTCGGGAAGGGAGGACCTCCCTCAGTGGCCGTCCCCTCCTGGGTTCTAGAAACACACACACTACCTGATCAAATCCCCCTCATGCCAAGGGGGATGTCATCCACTGGGGGTGATGACCCCCACCCAGCCAAGGCCTCGAGTACATGTCTCCACATGGGTGATGAAAAGAGGAGCTCTTTCTGCGTGGAAATCCTACATCAATTCATTCACGAAGATTGGGGAAATTATAATATAGATCCATCTCCGAGTGTGGGAAAAATTATAGACTGTATTCTTCACTATAATTAAGCTGGTTTCTAGAGGGAGCAGTAAGTATATTAGGCAATGCGTTTTTCTTTTTTAAAGGTGTCTTTGAGACCTTATGTGTCAAAATTAAAACCCTGTGCTCTTTGTTCAGAGAGGCACTGATTTTCCTTGTTGGGTTTAGGATTTTACTTCTCATCACTGGCTCCTCAGCTCCTCTAGCTTGGTCTGCCGGTGCAGGTAGTCAGCCTGGGCCAGTGGCTTGGCCTGATGGTGGGCTGAGCTGGCCCGCCCTTGACCATCCTAGACAACACCACGTCTACTGCGGCCTTACAGAGCCACAGCAAATCAACCAGACAGGCTTGGTTCTCCCTTAGGTGCCCAGGTTCCGTGGTGGATTTTAAAAATTTATTTAAAGGAATGCTTCCTTCCAAACCCTAGGAGCTGGTTTATAACCTGTTAAGCCATTTGGATTTATCTAACCTAACTTCACAAGTAGTGACTCTACTCCTATCACTCCCCGAATTGGAAAGTTCACTGGTACCCATTGCTTTCATAATAAAGTCCAGAATCTTGAGCCTGGCATACAGCTGTTTTGTCACCTTCTTTGCCTAATTCCTACTTGTGCTTGAACTCTCACTAGTGACTCCTCTCCTGGACACACTTTTCTCCCTGAACTTCATACACTGGGTTGGATGATGATGATTCTGACTGTCCCCGCCGCCGCGAGCTCTCTGAGGGTGGGGCCTGCTTCATTCGGCTCTCTTCTCTTTAATCTCCAGCCCCAAATGTCCCAGAGCCAGGCCTTGCGTGTTCAGTGAATTAACAGATGAATTAATTAGTCGATCTCAAAAGGGAAAAGAGATACATGAAGCACCAGCCAGACCACCGCAGCAGTAGACGAGGGGTAGGCCTACAGCGGCAGGTCGCAGAAGAGCAGAGTGAGTGGACACACTAGAGGTTGATGAAGGAGGGCGGCAGACGGGGGACATCTGGGTGCAGTGGAAAGGGGCGGGGCAGGAAGTGGTGACAATGGAAAGATGAGGACTGGGACATAATCCTGAAGACTGGTGCCCTGGACGGGTGGCTGGATGGGAGTGTCAGGGATACCAGACGGCCGGGTCGGCGGGGCAGATATTGACTTAGTTTCTGCCTGGCTGGTGGTCGGGGACTTGTGGCCACAGGAGAGAGCCTGGTGCCCCGCAGGTTTCTGAGAGTCGTCAGGTTGGGAGACGCAGGCAGAGCTGGGTATGAGCGAGGCTGAAAAGGAGAGACAGAAGGCAAAGCAGAATGGTCCCCACCTTGCCCCAGAGGGAGCACCAAGGAGGAGGACCAAGGAGAGCCCCAAGAGGAGAACCCAGCCAGTGAGACCCAGGAGAGCTCAGAGTTGGAGACTGGGGGTCGTGATGTGCAGATCAGAGCAAATTGGAGACACCGGAAGGACTGGGAGAGGGTGGGGCAGTGACACCAGCCGGGGAGAGAGAGCTTCAAAGGAAGGTGCAGCCTGCTCAGTGGTTTCAAATTCGGCAGAGGTGAAGCGGGATGAGGTGGGAAAAACTGCCTCTGGCTTTGGCGGTCAGAAGTGAGTGTAGGATGCTTGGAGGGGAGGGGGGTGCCTAACTGTGGTGGGCTGCACAGTGACCGGACGGGGAAGTGAAGCTTCAGGCCCCAGTGGTGAAGAGAAGGAGGTCTGGCAATGATTTGAGAAGGAGACAGGAGGCAGGGTCACTTGGGAGGTAGTGTGCGTGGCTTCCAGGCGAGGCTCGCAGTCACATCCTAGCTGTGGGCGCCCGTGTGCTTGGGGACCACCTCGCTGCTCTCAGGGAGGGAGCTCCAGCAGGCCTTCCTTCCTTCTTCTCTTGGAATGGAACATTATACAGCAAAGACTCTGACTCCCACCCCACTGAAGGTACTCCTTTTGTACTGCCTTGCCAAAATGAGACGTTTCATGATCCCTCTAACCCTTGCCTTCCCCCCACTTCTATTTATTTCATAACGTGATTTATTATTTCAGTAACATGATTAGCAAAGCTGGAGAATGCACTTTCTTTTCAATGCACATGGAACTTCCACTGAAAGAAATGGTTTTCTGGGCCATAAAGTGAGTCTCAACGCATTTCAAAGGACTGAAATCCCACAGAGGATTTTCTCCAGCCACAGTAGAATCAAGCCAGAAATCCACAAGAAAAAGACTACTAAAGTATTCCCATAATGTTTTAAAATCAAGTGACACACACATACTCTTGCTGTGTGACTCTAGACAGTTCATGTAACCTTGCTCAGCCTCAAGCTTCCTTATCTTTTAAAATGGGAATAACCTGTACTTCCTAGGGCTATTGGGAAGATGGAATAAGATAACATGTGTCACGCACTTAGTTCTGTGCCTGGCACATAATATATGCTCAAGAAATGTTAGCTGCACAGAGAGGTTAAGTAACTTACCCAGGGTCACACATCTGATAAATGGCAAGGCTAACTTTCAGATCCAAGCATCTGGCTCCACACTGGTACTGACACCCCTTCGGGGCCTCTGCCACCCCCAGCACTATAGGTTGTGGGGGTGTATGGGAAACTGCCACCACCCATTAGCCAGGTCACTTCAGAGAGTGTTAATTTCTCCACTCCCTCTGCAGAAGGTTGACTTAATGAGCCCAGGATTTCCCATGACCCTGATGTTCTGTGGTTCCAACTTCTCTACCACTGATGGCTGAAATTTTACCAGTAGAAATGTGTTTCTTTTTGTGTAATCCTGTCTTTGGCCTCATCTCCCTTTTTAGAAATACAGTTTTCCTTTAGAGGCTCCTGAGCCCTGGGGTTACCAGTATAGAAGGGTCTGTAGTGTGGTTCTGTGGGCCCTGGTTGGGAGGAGAGGGGCAGGCAAAGCGAGAAGAGATGCAGACAGGGAAAGCCAGGCCCCAAACTGTCCATTTACTAATGGCCCGCGGTGGCCCAGTGGAGCTCTGGTCAGGCCACCTGCAGGATGGCCGCGTAATAGTTCCTGTTCCACTCGCCCGGCTGACCCCATCTGTCATCATTTTTCACACTTTTTTGTAGGCTTCCTTTTTTCTCCTTCTGTATTTTTTCTTTCCGCCACAGTGCCTCTCAGATGAAATTGGAGATAAATGGGTTTTGTCCTTTTTTAACCAGAAGACTAAAACTCTTAAATTACCTTCTTCAAGTTCTGAAATAGAAATCCCAAATAAAACAACCACCTTTTCCTCCCTCCATATCTCTCTCTCTCTCTCTCTCTCTCTCTCTCTCTCTCTCCCTCTCTCTCTCCCTGTCTTAGGAGCCCAGGAGCTTGAAATAAAAGGCAGGATGGTGACTTAGGAGGAATGATCTAGGCTTGGCCCAGCGCCGGCCAAGGAAAAGGAGCGGGGCAGTGACAAAGAGGGCCCGACGGAGGTGGGGAATAAGGGAGAAAGAGATGGAAGTGAGCAAAATCAGTTGCTTGTGGTTCCAGAATAAGAGGTCACCGCGAGAGAACGAGTTCCTCGAGGAGCAGCTAGCTACTCCGTGAGTGTTAGGACACAGGTGGGTGCCCAGGGGACGTGGAGCTCAGGAGAAGCACAAAGTACAAGGGCTATTGCACCCATGTACTTGCTGTACTACCAAGAAGCACACAGGACTACAGGCACAGTAAGCCTCCCCTGCTTGTGCCACCTGACTGCGGTCACACACAGTTCCCAGAGACTCCAGCAGGGGGCAGCAGGACAAGGAGAGGGAGCATGTTCCTGGGCAAAAAATGAGGAATTCTGGGGCTGGAGGCTGGGTCCTAATCCCTGCCACACAGACTACTACTAATAGCTAACATCCACTGAGCACTTACTGTGTGCCCAATGATGCTAAACGCCTTACCCAGACCATCCCACTTAATCTTCCAAACAGGCCCGAGATGTAGCCATCATTATTCTCTCTGCTACAGGGGAGGAATGGGAGGTTGCGTGGCTTGCCCAAGACCTCATGCGTCTTGTGGCAGATGTGGGTTTAAACCCAGGGAGTCTGACTCCAGAGCTCTTGTTCTTCTTCCTGCCAAACAACCGGGCCTGCTGCCTTGTTTCCTCATTTGGAAAGTCATGGTGCAGGGGGCCAGTGGGGCGGATTGGATGAGGCTCACGTCCTCTCCAGCGTGGACTGTCTGATTTGGGGCTCATGCCTCCCCTGTGCACACACAGGTCCCGTTCAAATGATGCAGATTACGAGGTAAATCTGTGCCCTTGCAACCCTGATGAGACAGGGGAGGGGAATAAGGGCACTTCCTATGGTAGAAGACTTGTAGGTTAGAGTTAGGCAAAAGGGCAAAACCAAGATCCAAAGGTTCTAGAAAATTCTGCGCACTTCACCTCTATTGTGCATCTGATAATAGCCTTTGCATTTCCTTGCTCTTTGCTCCACGTTACACACCCACAGCCTCAGACCCACTTGGCCAAACAGGCTAGGAAGGAGCTCTGGCTCTGGGATGGGCGAGGTGGTTCCCTGTGGGGCGCCCCCTCCAGCTCCCTCTATCTTCTTCGCAGGCCCAGCAACCATGGCCCATTACAAAGCAGAGCAGGATGACTGGCTGATTGTCTACCTGAAGTATTTACTCTTCGTCTTTAACTTCTTCTTCTGGGTAAGTGAATCTTGCACACGCATCCATGCCCTGGCCCAGCACAGAGTGAGTCAAACCCCCTTTGTTTTTTGTGAGTCACCACTCGGGTTGATTTCTTCCAAATCAAAGACCACCCATGGGCAAACGCTGCCTACTTTAAAGCAAATATGTATATTTGCTACTGAGGGGGAAGAAAAGAATCTGGTCTGCAGGTTGGCGTGGAGTCCGCACCACATGGCATTTGAAATAGGGGACACATAAACATCACAAGGAGCGTTGTGTTCCCACCTGCTGTACACAGGGTCCGGCTCTTTCTTCCCCACTAACTTATTGTACCAGCGCCTTGTGGGAAATGTACCTGCTCTTTGCCTGTGCTCCACCGAAAACCATTTATTTGCCTTTCATGGTTAACATTCTCCGGGCCTGGGAAGAGAAACAGAAGTCGTGGGGCCCTGGGGCTGGTGTGGTGGGAAAAGCCTTCATGGTGACTCCCCTCAGGAAGTCTGCCCCGGGGAGGTCTTCTAGGAGGAGCGGGGTCCATCCACATGAGGCAGTTATCGAAGTAATCGGAAGCAGAATACCATGGGTTCCCCCAAAATAACCAGATGCTGGAATGTGTGCGTTTTGTATTGCAATCTCCCTAGATCTGGAGAACTGGAAGGGGGCTGGGAGAGCAGGCTCTGCTAGGCTCTGCTGTTTACCAATGGCGATGGTGCCGCCTGGGGCAAGCCACTTAACACTGGCTGTATCTCTTTCCCCAGCTACAAAATGCAAATCATTTCTAACTACCTGGGATTTGTTAAAAAGGAAACAACAGGCCCCAAATGAAGTCATTTAATGCTAAGCTTCATGTCACCCAAGCAGACTTAATTACAGTCTCGGCTCTCCCAGAAGTGGCATCTTAAACCATTCAATCAGGAATGACGATCATGAGTTAGGTAACCCACCTGCTAGGCTGCTGCCTTTCCCTAAAGGAAAGTAAGCTTGCAGTAACCATCCTGCTTTTTTGCCTAGCATTACATCCTTAGTCCTGGTCCCTTCTGGCTATGAAAGTCTTTCCTTTGGTGCAGACACCTCAGAGTTCCTTTCTATCTGCTAGATTGGATGCTGCCTAATTGGAATCAATTTGTGCTCAAAGAAACTCTTAAAGTGTTTAATATACCTCAATTTATCTCTTAGCGATTCGATGAGCAGGTGCCCTAGAAGGGTTCATGGTAAGTGCTTAGCACAGTCTCTGCACATAGAAGGCATTCAGTAAATACAACATTTCAGATATGCGAGCTGCAGACGGCTTGCAAATACCACCGAATCAACCTGCTGATAGAGCAGAGTGGAGGTCCCTGCCTCCCCTGGGAAGCCGTGCCCTCCCTTGACAGTCTTAGAAACATCTCAGAAAGGCAAAGGCAAAGATAGGTTATATCTGCATGTCCAGGATCTTTCATTAAGGCTAATTAAATTGCTTGAGATGGGCCAATGTGTTAAGACCTGGAAGGATCATGATACAGGAGTTAAGGATTGTGGGCACGGCCGGGCCAGGGTTTGGGAGAGAGCCTTGGAGAGTAGATGCCCATTTGATGCTGTCTGTTACAAAGTCGAATTGTTTGATGTTGGCTTAAATGTCTTTTGCAAAGTCCCTGAGATGGACAATAAATTTATTTCATTTGCAACTTTTATCTTCCTGGGCAAGAGTTTCCTGGAATACTAATAATAATAATATTGAAGCCAATGGACTACTACAGTCAGCGCTGATGTAATCAGTAAGCTGTGTGGGTGCAGATAGTTTTGATTCTCAGAGAAAAATGCAATAGAGTGCTTAGGATTCTTGCTGAGTGAGGATTTTTTTTTTTTTTCTTAAGAATACGTATGTTCTCCCCAATCATAAAAGTCTATGTCTCCACTACAGATAATCCCTAAAATACTGAGAAGTATAAATAAGAAAATAAAAATTGCCCACATCTCAGTGTATTAGGTTCCTAGGGGTGTCATAACGGAGTATCATAAACTGGGTGGTTTTGTTTTGTTTTGTTTTTTAAGGATTTATTTATTTGAGAGAGAGAGAGAGACAGCATGAGCAGGGCAGAGGGAGAAGCAGACTCCCCACTGAGCAAGGAGCCCGACTTGGGGCTCGATCTCAGGGCCCTGGGTTCATGACCTGAGCCAAGGGCAGATGCTTAACAGACTGAGCCACCCAGGCACCCCATAAACTGGGTGGTTTTAAACAGCAGAAATATATCCTCTCACAGCTCTGGAGGCCAGAAGTCCAAACTCAAGATGTCGTCAGGGCCATCCTCCCTCTGAGACTCTGGGTAAAGTCCTTCCTTGACTCTTCCTAAATTATGGTGGTGGCTGGCTATTCTTGTCATCTTGGGGTTGCACTGCATGACTCCGATCTCGGCTTCTGCCATCCCATACTGTTGTTCCTATGTGTCTCTGTCTTTACGTGGCATTGTCTTCTCAGAAGGACCCCACTCCTATCAGATAAGGGCCCACCTTGATGGTCTCATTGTAACTTGATTACATCAGCGAAGATCCTATTTCCAAATAAGGTCCCATTCACGGGTACCAGAGTTAGGACACCAACAAACCTTCTTGGGGACACAATTCAACCCATATATTCACCATCCAGGGATGACCCCTGTTGACATTCCCTCTAGACATGGCCCCGATCAGGACAGGAGTTGGTGGTGACCTGCACCATGGGAGGGACAGTGGGGATCGAAATATTTGGAGAGAGTCAAGGGATTTGGGAGGTAATATTAGGTCACAAACTGGTTGAGAGGAAAGAAAACATGTAACCTGGGTGGGCAGTGAAGCCCCTCACTGCAATGGTAGACCAGAAGGACAAGCAGTTTGGCGTCCAATGGCGAGGTCAGATGGAGGCATGGTGGGTTTGAGTCACTGGGAGGCATCTGAGCAGAGATGCACCGTGGGAAGTTGGCTCGTGGGTCTGGATCATTCCCACCCTGATGGTAGCTGCAGCCACAGAAGTAGGTGAGGACCCCCATGGAGACCGAGAAGAGAAGCGAGAATGAGATGCAGAGCAGCCCTGAGGGCAGGGGTGAGTCGAAGCTCAACAGCGGCCCCCTTATGCCCTGCCCGAGAGAGCTCCTGAGATGTGGGACTTTCATTCTCCCACCAGGAGAGCCCAGGCAAGCTGACAGGAGCCGTCCACCAGGCTTGAGGGAAGGGCTGTCAAAGTGGAGAGAGGCAAAGCAGGAGGGACAGGGTCCCAGAAGCTGGAGATGGAGGGGGTAGGTTAGATACGTGTTCAAGGGAGGGGACACATCAAGTATTTTAAGGCCTAGAGAGAGGCTATTGGGTTGACCCCACAGTTTATTGGTGGCTGCAGTATGAGAACTCTTGGGAGAGTAGTGGGGGTGGGGGTGGAGGAAGTAGGCAGTCAATGTAGACAGCCACCTGCTGGGCACCAGCAGAGAGAGAGGGCCACAGCTGGCGGGGCCGGAAGGCTGTTTCAAGGAGCTCAGCCCAGAATATCTGTGGAAGGGCCCTGACCTTGCCTGTGAGCACCCTCGGGGCCCTTCCAGCCAGAGAGGACTGGGAGTCTGTTCAGGTTTGCGTCCGTTTGGGAGTGGCAGGGGGAGGGACATGGGGGCGGAGCACAGGCAGATGGCCAATGGTCATGCTACCCAAGCAGCTACCAGTGAGTGAGAGGGAGCCTCCCCCATACCAAGCTCCCCACCTTGGGTTAAAAATACCCCTGCCTGGGGGCCTGGCTGGACATGGACCAGCCTCCCAGGGACCCATTCGACCAAGCGTCATCCACCTTATGACAGATGGCCCGTTTGGGGATGTTCAGGCCTCAGTCTGAGTCCAGGGGTGTCCCGGCATTGTCCCCTAGACCGCCGTGATCTCGTCGGAAGTAGACAAGGGACAGACTGCTGGCCCATCTCCTCCCACAGCGGAGCGCAACATCACACATCTTGCCGTGAGCAAAGCCCCTGGGAATTTACCAGAGTTCCGGGGAAGGGGGCGTGTCAGTGAGGGTCCCATCCCACTGGAGAAGGGCTCCTCCCACACACACCCCAGAGTCCAGCTGCCAGCCCTCCACCTGAGCCCCTCTTTCAAGACACAGAGCAATGTGCTCACACCCCTTCTGCCTTCCTCTTAGACTCTACTGCAGAGCGTGGGGGAGGGTCTGCAGACAGCTGCCAGTCTCCTGCTAACTAAGTCCCTGCACAGGCACAGAGAGTGAGCCCAGACAGCAGAGGCAGACTGCCCTTGCTAGTCCTCCTTTCTCCCCCATGACAGTGTTTCTTCCCCATACATCACGTTGCCAAACTCTGTCCCAATCCAGCATAGCGAGGCTGGAGAAGCCCTTTCTCCGGGCAGTTATGATGCCTAGCGTTCGGGAACCACTGCCGGATAAAGACCTTCCTTGGGTTATCTCACACGATCCTCAGATCAACCCTGAGGGTCTGTCTGGCCATTATCCTCAGGCACAGAACAGGCTCATCCAGTTCAGAATCTTGCCCCAGATGTTAGAGTGGTGAGAAAGAAAGCGAGCACTGACCCCCACGCATTCTGGTAAGTGATAACAATGGAAAAGTCCAGCCCCGATGTTTATTAAGTACTGTTCTAGGTGCTTGGGTGCATGAGCGGACGGAGTCCCTAGGGTGCACGGCACTTCCTGTTTCAGGCTTCCTCTCAGGAAGGCCTTCTACCTACATCATTCCGTTTCATCTTCCCAGCATCCCATAGCCCTGAGCAGCTCTATTAGAGCCCCGCTGTGCAAGGAGGGAGGGGCAATGTGCTCAAAGACCCAGAGCTGGATCCTAGCAGCTTTCACCCCTAAGACTACACAGGGGACCACCAGCCTCAAGTCCTGTCCCTCTCCCACAGTGTCTGTGGGACATACGTGGATCAGTAAGACAACAGAGCATGCTGGGAAGACTCGGGCTCAAGTTTGAGTTCAAATTCAGATCTTATTTATTTGCCATGGGACATGAGTTGCTGGGGACAGAATTGTGACCGCTCAGAATTCGTACGTTGAAGTCCTAAAC